TGACTCACCAGCCACGTGATGGGAGCAAACCCAAGAACATTGGGTTGGGGAACACCAGCCCATCCGGGAGGATCCTCAGGGAACCCCACTTCACTGAGACGGATAATGATGGTGGCTGAGAAATGGGCAGAGCCATCAGGAAGAGCTTAACCTAAGAACACAGATGAAATGGTTCCAAAGAGGGAGGCGCAGCCCCAGTGCAGTGTCAGATGTGATTAAATCCATCTGACAAAGACTGTGAGGAGGATTCTTTGTCTTCCTCTTTGCTCATTGCAAAATGCTAGAGAACAAGAAGGAGGACCTGAGCTGCTCTTACTGCTGGAAGAGCGGTGCCATAATTGGCAGTACAATTGTAGAGAATCACCCCAGCCTAGAGCATACCGGGCACTTGTTACGAGAGTGAGAAAGTGTCCTTGCAGTCACTTGCTGCTACGTGAGTGGGCAAGGAGGAGAGTTTAAAATACAATCCCATCATCTCTTGTAGGGCCACTGATTAGTCAGAGCAGGGCTTTGAATGTCTGTGGATTAGGAAGTGAAAAGGTCCTTCATAAGATGATGCTGCAGATCACTACCTAAAAACAAAAGCACTAACTTCAAAGTGTTCCTCTCCAAGTCACATAAATCACTCCTGGGGCAACTTCAGCTTGAAGGGGAGTGCTGGGTGTCCCATCCAGCAGGCATAAAATACATCATTTTCTGAAAAGGAGAAAAATGATCCCTTTTCTATAGATCCTGTTTCACTGAAACATAAGGGAATGCTGCTTTGGATCTCAGTGTAAGGAATAATAACCTGCTAAATACTTGACTGCTATCAAGTCAACTAGTAATGACACTGAAAGAAGTCCCAACTAGCCAGGTGAGTATTTGATGCTTCCTAAGGGAATCAACCAAGGGGAGTGGATGATAAAATCGATCACAGGTAATGTAGGAGGTTTAAAATTAAAAGTATAAGGTGACTGGGAAGTCCTAAAGAACAATTTAAGTGTGACCAAGAGCTACAGCTCCATAAAGCAAAGAGGACACCCAACGGCACGTGCTGCTCACAGGTCAGTGGTGAGGGGACAGAGACAACCCAACAACAGGACATGATAAACAGAGAGTGCTCAATATGAACTGGGCATTGGAAAATGAAGAGTAACAACAGAACAAAGGACATCAGAGAGAAGAAATGCACCTTTGGCCTAGCAAACGATGATCAGAGAGCAGTTTAAATCCGATCATACCACAGTGATGTCCCAGCCCTGTGCAAGCTGGTCAGTCACCAGCAGGGAGTGTCTGACTGCGAATAAATGCATGCAGCAGAATGTCCCATCACTTACTTTCCCTTTGCTGCTGTGGAAATAAACTGGTTTCCTTCCCATGACCAAGCAAGGATTTTTGGCATGAGCTACCCGAGACGGAATGAATTGTTTGCACCTAGTGAATGCTGGGTATCATGCTCCTTCTCCTCTCCCTAAAGATCTTCCTGGTGCAAGAACAGTTCAACTTTCATAGAGTTTGAAGGGTTCGGGCATTCCAAAAGGCCAGAAGAAAATCAGTGTCAGGCCAACGTTCAAAAAGGGGCAAGTAAAATGATCCATGAAGCTACAAGTCAAACAGTAACACTGACCCTGGGAAAACTGATTTGGAATTTAATAAAGAACACTTAGATTATTAATATTGCTCTATCAGGCTTTACAGTAACTAGATCTTCCTCGGTAAATTAAGAGTCTGACGGATGCAGATAGCTGTGCTGATGCAAGGCTCACGCTTGGCTGCATCCTACATGGCATTAAAATGGGGGGTGTAAAACATCAGTCAGACACATCCCAGGGATCCAAAATCCCTGTGAAGAGCAGCACTAAGAGTGATCACTGGGGAATGTGGCAACCACGAGGGTGATGAAGAGGCTCTTCAGGTGCTGGACTTGACTCTGTTGAGACCCTAATTATCCTGAAGTGAATGCACATCGCTGATACAACCGTAGATGCCACAGGAAGAGCTCGAGGAGCAACCAGGGCTGGGCACTAAGGAACAACAAGATATGGAAACCCAGCAGGATGCATTTGAGATGCTACAGGCTGGGAGGGACGTGCTGCAGCAGCTGCTCCCTGTGGTCAGGGTGCTGTGGAATGCTCCAGCCTGAGGGCTACACTGTGGGTCAGCAATGCTGGGGGAGTAGCAGCTGATGCCCTTCCATCATCCACCTGGGAACAAGCAGGAAGGAAAACAACCTCTGAAAAAAAATCACACCATGGGATCAACCTGAGTGATTGATTCCCTTTAAGCTCATCCAGTCCAACCATTCCCAGCACTGCCAAGGCCACCACTGCCCCATGGCACTGAGGCCTCGTCTCCACGCTGTGTGAGCACTTGCAGGGACGGTGCCTGCAGCCCTGCCCTGGGCAGCCTGTTCCAATGCCTGAGCACCCTCTGGGGCAGGAATTGTTCCTCAGCTCCATCTAAACCTGCCCTGGGGCAGCTTGAGGCCGTTTCCTCTTGTCCCATCCCTTGTTTCTTGGGAGCAGAGCCCAGCCCCTCCTGGCTCCCTCCTCCTCTCAGGCACTTGTAGGGAGCCATCAGGTCCCCCCTGAGCCTTCTCTTCTCCACACTGAACCCCCCAGGTCCCTCAGCCCTTCCCCATCACACTTGGGCTCCAGGGCCTGCACCAGCTCCATTGCCCTGCTCTGGAAGCTCCCAAGCACGGAACTTCTCTGTGGTTCCACTTCAACCAACATAGGCCAAGTAACCCCATGTTAAGGTGGGGGTAGGACGCAGCGGAGGAAGGACTGGAAGAAAACCCCAAATCCCCTCCATCTAGCAGGACGTAACATGGGGTCCCATCCAGAGCCACACGTTCACCCCCGTCCTCCCAAACGCGGGGAGCAGGGAGCTGCAGGAAGAGCTGTGAGTGGCACAGGCTTGTACCTGCGCTGTTAAAAACCTCTTAAGAATGGAATAGTGACACCTTAACCACAGAAATGATGGGAAAGCTGGAGAAAATACCTTCAAATGCAAGACTGGAGGAGTTTGGCCTCTCTTTAATTAAGGCAAGGAAGACAGAAGGTTGACTTGATTACCGTGTATAAATACCTTCATGTGAAGACACACCAGGTACTAAAGTGCTCTTTAATCTAGAAGATAAAGTGTAAGGACAGCTGGAAGCTGAAGCACACAGATTTAAATGAGATGGGAATTTTAAACAGTGAGGGTGATTAACCAGAGGAAGGAGGAAAACGGATCCCCTGTTCCCTGGAGGATTGATGGCTTTCTGGAAAACATGGTTAGCTTTGCTTAGCGAGCACACACACAGGGGGTGAAGAGCATCCTGCAAGGGATAGGGGGTCAGGTCGATGGGACAATAGCAACATCTGGTCGCACATTCCAGGAGCCCTGAATATTGAACAGCAGGTTTATGTCATTCTTTCCTGTTCACAAAACTTGTAAAGCAAACAGTAATGATATGGGCTTGCACCAGGAGTCCAGAGCGAAGTGTCCAAGCCTCGTCTGCTCCAACACTGTTTTAACATCTCATCACATCCACTCTGGTTTTGCCCTTGGTTCTGAACTGGATCCAAGCAACTGTTTGGGTCACGTTTTTCCTTCTCCCCCTCTACACTTCACACAGTCTCTCACTATACTCCTAAGAGCCATTTCCCTCCTGTGAAGGGATGCCTGGGTTCAAATGTACAAGATCCAAAACTCACAGCATCTTTTCAAGCAGCACACTGAACTCTGCAATGGAATGTGCTCTAAAAGCTGCACCAGCTCAGAGAATCTCCTTCAGGACCGACCCCTCAAAATACTTGTAACGGCTTGGGCAAAACTGGAAGCCACACGGAGCCGAGCTGCTTGGGAATGCTCTGGGGTGGACAGGGACCACATTTACAGGCTACCAGCTATTTTCCGTATGAGCAGTTGTTCATTAGGACACCAGTGGGTTCAGCCAGAGCAGCTACAGCAGCAAATGAACAGTGTGAGTGTTCCTGGGCACTGTTCAAATGGCTCTTGCCAGAGTTTGGCTGCACCAGCTTTCACCTCCCAGCTCAGGAGCTGGCAAGAGCCATTCCCAGAGGGAGCCTGTTTGCAGCCGCATTATCCAAGAGGACAAGAGAGGTTAACTGTGAACAGCACCACACGTTGCTGCCTGACCTCAGGGCTGAGGCATGGTCTGGGCACACTAAATATGGAGTACAGAGGTGGCCGGCGCTCCAGAAACAGCCTGAGAAATCATCCCACTGAACCACAAACACAGAGAATTAATTACCAGCTTGGAGCCTGCTCCTGGGCTGGAAACGTGCCCCTGGCTCACACACAGCCCCTCAGCTCCATGGTAAATACTGATCAGCGGCATTGCTTTTAAACAGGAGCAACAGAAGCAGAAACCCCTCGCTCAGAACAAGACTCCACGGCAGGGCAGATGGGCAGAGCTCCCTCCTCCCCAGCCTACCAGTGCTGGGGTCCCGTTCTCACTCTTTACAGCCAGGAGCCTGCAGGAACCCCAGAAGCCGGCGCTCCAGTGACCAGCTTCGTGGGGCGAACTTTGCTCAGACACAGAGAAAAGTAAAACGAGGAAACCAGAGGCCAAGGTTTTATTTTCTTGACCCCCAAAGCACTTCTTGAGCTTTCTGATGGCTTCATGAAGAGACCCTCGAGCAGCCAGTCGCATCCACCCTGTCCCAGAGACAGCCTCATCCCCCCAGAATCCCGGCCAAGGCTGCGCAGCCCCACAGCTGTCACTTTGTGCCGTACTCCCAAGCTCCGTGTGCTCCCCACACACACCATCTCCTCCCAAGAGCCTGCTGTAACTTCATGCTCCCAAGACCCAGCGTCATAAGAAGACACACTGCTGAGAAATTCCACCCACGTCCCTATGTTCCAAACCTTACACTGCAGACCATAACACATCATTTGTTCAGCCCCTCAAGAACAGTCACCCCCAAGTCCCCACTGTGTCCCCAGATCCTTTCTCCCCTACCCCTCCTCTGCCACCCTCCCCTCTCTGTAGAAGCCAGCCTCACCTCCAGTATCCGGATCATGAAAGTTGGGGTCCAGTCCCTTCTCCAGCAGCCTGCAGACCTTCTCCACATTCAGCATCTGCACATACTCCATGAACTTCTTCAGGTTTGCCTGCAGCCAGGAAAGCCCAGGGAAACACACAACACGGTGTTAACCGCCTGACGCGAAGAAAGAAGCCACCAGAGGAATATCCCTACTCAGGAGACCCAAGGCCCAGAGAAGCTGTGGCTGCCCCATCCCTGGCAGTGTTCAAGGCCAGGTTGGACACAGGGGCTTGGAGCAAGCTGCTCTATGGAAGGGGTCCCTGCCCGTGGCAGGGGTTGGAGCTGGAGGAGCTTTAAGGTCCCTTCAACCTGACCAGGCTGGGATTCTATAAAAAATAATGGGGCAGCACCCACCAGGAGCCAGGGCAGTGAATATACAATGGACATGATCCTCCTATTGCTCTCCTCAAGACTGGGAATGCAGGATCACCCCATGGAAACCATCAGGGACTGCCACCCCACTCTGTCCCAGAGCAAAACCCCTGCTAAAGCACTTTCAGTTCATACACAGCAGGCACACCAACACCCATGTAACGGGGTGTGTTTGTCCATGGTGCAGTGTGGCACTGGCTGTGGATGGTGCTGAGCTGCATCCCAGCTGTACCCGCATCCTGCTGCAGCATCGGGTCCAGTGGTCGTGTCACAAACTCATCTCACGGGCCTCTCACCCACCTGCCTTCTGAACCTAAACCACGTCAGGAGAAACCAAACTACTCCCACACCAACCATTGCTGTACAGCGCAATGGGTACGGCTGCTGACCAGCTGCGTGGAACTGGGCTTTGTACTTGCTGTCACTGCTGTCTTCTGCCCAAGACTAAACCTGTGTGTTCTGAGGGGGCCGAGGGCCCACGAGACCCTCCTGTGAGCCCGCCTGGCTGCTGCACGCTGTGGTTTTCCCCTTCTCCCCTCCTGGGTAGCTGCACTTGATGAACACATCACTTCATTGCATTGCTGGACTCCAGAAGCTGCGGCCCTGCCAGGCAGACACTGGCCACCGACTGTGCGCGAACCCCCAGCTCACGCTCTCCCCGGGCAGGTTTTCCAGCCTTTGCCTGCGAGCTGGCTGGGTTTGGGTTTAACTCGGAGCTGGCAGCAGCTTTGGGACAGGGTCTGACACAGCAGAGATGCTGCCGTGGGCTGAGGGAAGTCTGTGGAAAGGCTTGGAGCTGCAGCCAAGGCTCAGGAGCTGCTTTGGCTCCCGGAGCCCCTGCGCAGACACTGCGTGCACAAAGTGACTTCACCCAGAGAAAAAAAACAATTTTCAACATTTTCCCCTAATTTGATATAGAAAAAGTCTATCTTTTATGGAGAAAAATGAATTCCCAAGTGCTTCACTTCCAATCTCTCTTTGAAGATTGGAAAATAGAAGAAAGATAAATCTGAAAATACCAAATGGGATGCAGAAACCTGCCCGGTTCTTCTCAGGGGCCTCCTGTCCCAAATGCAATCACATATTACCTTGCATATTTTATCTCGTCAAGATTCCATTTTCTAGGAGGAAAAGCTTCATACTTCTAGAAGCAGCTCTGCTGAGGAGCCTGCGTATCCCAAAGCTTGGCCCCAACATTCAGCTGTGCTATTTCTCTCACATGCTGAGGAGATTGTAGTAAGATGTCAGTCAGAAAACACCACCCAGATGGAACTTCCAAGAATGAGACCAACCCATGCTGGGCTGTGAACCCTGCTTAAACCAATTCAGTCTCAGAGTGGTCAGTCTGCAGAACCAGACATCTTTTCTCAAGTCAGCACCATGGAGCTGTGTTATAAAGCAGCAGGTCATGGGTCCAGCAGTACAGAGCCATGCTATTGAGCAGGCAAGTCACATATCTAACATTATAGGGGCATGCTATGGAGCAGGCAGGTCACGAATCTAATACTATAGAGCCCTTTGAGCAGTACGTGCCACACTGCCCCATCCCAGCAGAGCCCAGGAGCTGAGGCAGAGCCCTGCACTGATGAATTCCACTGCAGCCGCGCAGTCCCTGACCCCTCACCCTGGCTACCTGCAGGATGTGGGTGCCACGGGGACACTAAAGGTAACACACAAAGCACCAGACACACAATTCAGGTACAAGGTTCACTCCTCCTAGAACCGTGGAACAGTTTGGACTGAAGGGACCTTAAAGCTGCTTCAAAATTCGTGGAATCCCAGCCTGCTTTGGGTTGGAAGGGCCCTTAAAGCTCACCCAGTTCCAACCCCTGCCACGGGCAGGGACCCCTTCCACTGGAGCAGCTTGCTCCAAGCCCCTGTGTCCAACCTGGCCTTGAACACTGCCAGGGATGGGGCAGCCACAGCTTCTCTGGGCACCCTGTGCCAGCGCCTCAGCACCCTCACAGGGAAGAGCTTCTGCCTAAGAGCTCAGCTCAGTCTCCCCTGGCACTGCTGTTCTTGGCCACAGGGGTTTAGCATCATCCCTTGGGATGGGTTCACATAATCGCTGAAGGGCAGCGGGGAGGAGCTGAGGGGTGTGGACAGGCGGGAGTGGAAGGAGCAGGGTTAAATCTACACAGTGAGGTGATGGGAAGAGATCTTGGGCTGGTGTCCTGGGGACGGGTGCTGGAGCTGTCAATCCCAGCTGTGCAATTGCTGGCAGCAGCTGTGGTTGCCTGCAGGGCTTCTGTTCTCCTGCACGAGCTGAAGGGACTCGAAGCAGGAGGTGGATTTTTCTTCCAGTCACTTGTAAGGCGAGAGAGCTCTGGGGGAGAAGTGACCCTGAGCAGCGAGGGCTGGGGCAATGTTTTACCCCCGGAAGAGCAGTGCTTGTGCCCGCAGTTGAGGCCATCATCCTCTGCCGCGCTGGTGATGAGGTTTGGTGCTGTGGGAACCACTTACACGGTGTGTAGATGTTCCCAGTACCTCCTGTGTGGGTGACCTGACCTGTTTCACCCCCTGCGTGGTGGTTCTTGTGCTCCCTGTCCCATGGTGGTGTTGCATCTGTCCTGGCAGCCCAGCCGGGGCTGGTGCATCCCGAGGGATGCGAGTGAGCATCCAGGGATGGGCAGCACTGTTGGGATGGGGTGCAGGGCTGTGCTTTGCACCAGGGGATCAGCTGTCCTGGTAAATCCCTGCTCTTCTTGGCTCTTGCCTTGCTGCACTGCTGTCCCTGGGCACTAAGGACCACCTCCTCCAGCAGGTCATGGGGGTGATCCTGCCCCTCTACTGCACTCTGCTGAGACCCCACTTGCAGCACTGTGTGCAGTGCTGGTGTCCTCAGCATAAGGACATGGAGCTCTTGGAGCAAGTCTGGAGGAGGCCGCAAGGGTGATCAGGGGCTGGAGCACCTCCCATATGGGGACAGGCTGAGAACATTGGGGCTGTTCAGCCTGGAGAAGAGAAGCTGTGTGGAGACCTCAGAGCAGCTTCCAGTATCTGAAGGGGGCTACAAGGATGCTGGAGAGGGACTGTTCATCAGGGACTGTAGTGACAGGACAAGGGGTGATGGGTTAAAACTTAAACAGGGGAAGTTCAGGTTGGAGATAAGGCAGAAGCTCTTCCCTGTGAGGGTGCTGAGGCGCTGGCACAGGGTGCCCAGAGAAGCTGTGGCTGCCCCATCCCTGGCAGTGCTCAAGGCCAGGTTGGACACAGGGGCTTGGAGCAAGCTGCTCCAGTGGAAGGGGTCCCTGCCCGTGGCAGGGGTTGGAACTGCGTGAGCTTTAAGGTCCCTTCCAACCCAAACTGATTCCATGATTCCTGGGGGCTCCAGGGACCGAGACACAGCCCAACACTGTACCTTGGCATATGCAATAGTGGCTCAGAGCAGTTCTGCTTTTATGCTCCCACCAGACACATCCCAGGCACTAACCTGAAGTTCTGCTCTTGAGGGTCTGCCAGTGCCTCTCATTCACATCCCCAGGAACACATCCCACCCAGCAGCACCCAGCAGCACTCTGCTCACATGTATTCCTGGGCTTCCCAGTGCTACGGAACTGAAAGCATTTCTTGGCATCAGGAAGCTGATGCGCTGTGTCAGCTTTTAATGACACCTTTCAGAAAGGAAGCTGGAGAGCAAGTACGTGATCAAAGGAGGATGCAGAGAGGCATCCTAGCTCTGGGAGCTGCATTCTCCTGTGTAGATGTTCGTTTGTCACCAGCGTCCTGTGCACCAGGCACGCATGAATTGTCTGCACATGGAATTTCCCTTCGGGGGAAATCAATGCCTACCCTGCATTTCCAGCTGAAGAACAGAGAAGGTTCATGCAGCTTCCCAAGGTCTCAGACCAAATCCACAGCAGTGCTTCACAAATCATTAATAAAGGCCAGAGGTTTAACCAGTTAATGTTCACACAGAACAAACATCCCTTTTCGTCGCTTGGAGCTACCCATTGGCTACGGACACGCAGCTCGGGCCCACGTTCAGGGGTTGCTGCAGACCACAGACCTGACACTATGGGGAGAAGGCAGGACACCAGCACGGGGGGTCCTCGCCCTCCCACCGGCTGTGTGACAAGAGCCACTCAGGCCACTGGGCAGCAGCAAACAGACACTCATCGATCCCACAGGAAAGTCAAACCGTCTATTTGGATTGGGGGGAACTGGAGGAGTTTTAAGGTCCCTTCCAACCCAAACCACCCTGCGATTCAATGGTTGTGTGTTTCTTGCCATAGAGGGGGGCCCAGGACACAGATGACACCTATGGCAGTGCAAAGCAGCAAGCAGCGAGAGGCCACTGTGTTTCATCCTCAAGTCTTGGATCCTTGCCCCAGCCTTGATCAACTTCAGCTGCTGCTAACACACACTGGCCTGGGAAGCACAGCCCTCCATTCCCCCATCACACGCTGCCTCCACCAGCACACACCGTGCCAGCACGCACGGCTGCTCCCACATCCAGCTCCAGCAGCCCATCTCTTCCCAAGGGCCTTCCCAGCCTGTGCCATCCTCTGCTGCTTCCTCCCTGCACCGCCACGGTCATGGTGCTCGCTGCCCCCACCCAGCTCAGAGCTATGACTTGCCCCACATCCCACTGCCCCCCGGAGCAGGGCCACCGCCGCCTCTGCACACAGCAGCCCCAACAGGAAAGCTGGTGACAGTCACACTGCGGTGTTGTCCACCAGGGTGACACTTCCCTGTTGCTTCATCACCCAGAGCCTGCCTCTTGCCCCTGCCCACACCAGGGTGCTGCTCCCCTCTATGGGTAGCTCACATCACAGGGATCACTGGCTCTATGCTGCCCATCGCCTACAGCACCTTTCCAAGGTGGGAACATGCAGTCTTTGGGTAACACAATGTCCTTTGTGCACATTTGGTAAATGCCACGGATTTTGTGTCTCAGCACAATGGGATTGCCCTTTCCCAACACACAGGTTTTGCACTCCCGTTTCTGAATGGTCATCTGAATTCAGTGGGAAAAGCACTCAAGAGCTGTCACAGCCTGTGGTCCCAGGAGGCACAAGGGGCTGAGGCTGACTGACTGGGTTTACAACTCACTTGTTACTGCCAGCCGCACAAGAATGAGCTTCCTCACTTCTCAGAACACGTTCCCTGGCACTCAACAAAAGGAGGGGTTTATTTGTCTGGCTTTTCTCTTTTAGTGGCAGTAAAGAATCAGACTTCAGGGTCATGAAAAGATTCAAGCAGTGCATCCTACCAAAGCCAGCTCTGAACTCTGAACAGTTCCATACTTCGCTCTCATTTGCATGAGGCCACCAGCCCTAGGCCTAAAGATTTCACACATGCCACGGCCTCAGGAGCGGTCTCACCAGCCTTTTGGGCTCATCCTTCACAGCCCTTTAAATTATGGCATCTCACAGAAAACAGCATCTCCCTGCCCGAGCTAGCGGCATCACTGCAAGTAAAAGGGAAGCCTCAGGGGTGGAGCGAACGCGCCGCAGGGGCATTACCTTGTGCATCTGCTCCCAGAGGAAAACACCAGCCCTGACCACAGACGGCAGCAGAAACTGCTGCTCAGCTGAGCTGATGAGAGCGGGTACAGGCCTGGTCATGGCTGCAGTGATGGAGGAGCCAGAAACACCTTCCCACCATGTTCAACATGGGAATGAGCCCCTGCTCCTAACCTGCCACCGGCCCTACAGTCCCACAGCATCCCTCCATGGGTCAGTGACACGGTGGGAGGGTGGACTGAGCTGAGCTCTTAGGCAGAAGCTCTTCCCTGGGAGGGTGCTGAGGCGCTGGCACAGGGTGCCCAGAGAAGCTGTGGCTGCCCCATCCCTGGCAGTGTTCAAGGCCAGGTTGGACACAGGGGCTTGGAGCAAGCTGCTCCAGTGGAAGGGGTCCCTGCCCGTGGCAGGGGTTGGAGCTGGATGAGCTTTAAGTTCCCTTCCAACACAAACCTTCCATGACCCTGTGATGATTCTCTGCCCTTCTGTAGCCCCTCTCCCAGTGGAGCTCAGGGGAGGCAGCTCAGCAGAGGGGCAGAAGCAGCACCATGCTCTTCACTCAGGGTCTCTTGCCCGTTTCCTCTCTGCCATCCCAAAGAGGAGACCTTGTCCCTCCATTCTGACCCCTCCCTCCCTCAAGCCACGGGCCAGGATCCTGCACACACATCGTCTGCTCCCACCCTCTCCCAGTACAGCAGCATCAGTCTGCGCTGGGCAGGTACATCACAGCGATGCTCAGCACCAGCATCACTCCAACACGTCTCCCACTTGTACCCCCATGTGCAGGAGCAGCCCCAGCAGGATGAGGCCTCCTCTCTGTGCTCAAAGCACCACGGAGCCCACAGGCTCTGAGGGACACCCCAGCCAAAGGAGCCACACATCAGCCCCCTTCTGATGGAGACAAAGGCAGAAGCAGGAGCACGCCCAATGCCAGATGGTTTAAAATAAAGGAACAACGTGAAGGGAATTTGGTTTTTAAGTGGAAATTAAAGCATTGGGTTCAGTGAGTATTTAATACAGCACATTCACGGCTCCTGCACACGTGTGGGGAACCCCTTGGCTGCTGCCGCCCGGGTCCCCCTGAGGCCAGCGCCTCCAGCCCTCCCTCCACAGGCTGCGGCTGGTGGGGCTCGGGAGGACCATGATTCACGCTTCCTGGCGCCAGGAAGATGCTGAGAGCTTTCCAGATTTGCTGCCTGGATATTCTTATGCCACCAGACGGAAGCCTCGTGACTCCAGTCTTTGTGACTCAAACCTGAACCCATTTTGTTTCTTGTTTCTGCAGCTCTGCAAACCGGAGACAGAGAATCTGCTGCTTCCCACGGAGATTTTCACCTCTCACAGAATCCAGACTGGTTTGTGTTGGAAGAGAGCTTAAAGCTCACCCAGCTCCAACACCTTGCACTGGAGCAGCTTGCTCCAAGCCCCTGTGTCCAACCTGGCCTTGAACACTGCCAGGGATGGGGCAGCCACAGCTTCTCTGGGCACCCTGTGCCAGCGCCTCAGCACCCTCAGAGGGAAGAGCTTCTGCCTAAGAGCTCAGCTCAGTCTCCCCTCTGGCAGGTTAAAGCCATTCCTCTTGGCCTGTCCCTACATCCCTTGTCCCAAGCCCCTCTCCAGGTTTCTTTTACACAAGCCCTGGTCCTCACAGGGGACTTCAACCACCCCTTTACCTGCTGGAGGGACAGCAGGGCACAGGCAGTCTGGGGAGCTCCTAGAATGGACTGATGATCACGTCCTTCTCCAAGTGATTTTCACCTTTGGGTGAAAGCCCTTTGGGAAGTTTTCCTGCTTTCTGCTCCACTCTGTGGCTCCACCTTGCTCAGCTCCTGCTGCTGTACCTGTTCACTGGACGTTTACAAGCCCTCCACACGAGGTCCAACCACATCAGCCTCTCCACACCACCGCTCCTTGCCCCCACCCAGTCTGATGGATCTGTAGCGTCCTCATGCCACCAGCAGTTCCAGTGACACCCAGCAGTGCAGTGGCCACCAAGTCCAGCTCCATCCTCCTGCCTCACAGCTGCCATGGCCCTGGCCTCTCAGGAGCCAGCAGTGTCCCCACAGGGCCACTCGCCATCACAAGGCACAATTATTAGTCGCAGCAGAAATCTGATGGTTCCAGGCCTCTCCACAGTCACTAATCTCTGTTTCTAAAGCAAGAAATGACACTGGAGACAGCCACAGTGCAAGGGGAGAAGCAATGCGAGAGGGCATCCAGCCAACACACACTCAAGACCTAGTCCTGTGAGCATCCCTGACCCTCCAATGTGCCAACCGGGGTGTCCCTGGCCGCAGTGCTGGTGGCTTTGGCACACCCCACCCCTGCACCCAAAGCACCATTCCTGTTCCCCAAACACCCGGATGGTCCACCCAGTGCCTGCACCGCACACACACCTCAGCTGCTGCCTGCGACACATGGGAGCTGCAGCAGACCCAGAGCACTTTCTACTTCACTTGTGGGTCCCAGCAGTGAGACCCTCACCCAGACACACGGGGAAAGGCAGGAGCAGTGTGTGAGCAGAGGCATGCTGCAGCCGCCGGGGTGGGAGGGGAAGGTGCGCTCTCAATGTGCACACTGTGCTCTCCTCCACACCAGCGAACAAAGCTCCTCTTCAGCAGCCTCCACGCATTCCTCTGCCGCCACCCCAGGGACTCCCGGCTCTCCCGCAGAGCCCAGTCCAGCTTTGCGAGTGCCTCCCTGTGTGCCCACCCCGCCACGGCTCAATGGGTGCTCCAGCCCGTGCCCCCTCCCACACCACCCCAGGTTCAGCAAGCACCATCATCCCTCGGGAGCCTGGCGAAGCAGGGAGGACCAGAACGTCCCCAAACCCAGCATCCCCCTGCAAGAGGCCACCACCAGCCACCAAGTGGCACCAGGGCTCTACAGGCTAGCCTCCAGCCTTACCTTCGTATGGAGCTTGGCAAACTGCTTGTCATCCAGCAGAGCCTGGGTGTACACACGCCTCTTGTACCGGAACTGCAAGAGGAAGAAAGGCAGAGCTGAGATGGACAAAATGCACTTGGCATCAGCCTGCTCTGGAGCAAACATCAGCCTGAAGAAGCCATTTGGTCCAGAGGTGCGAACAGCAGTCACTGTTCTCCTCAGGATTTGCTCTGGGAGTTAACTGCTTTCCTCACTAAAGAAATTTGGACCAGTTTCTGATACCAATCTGCCTGGCTTCAACTTCCAGTGTGGGCTTTGCTCTGCTCTTCCCTGTGAACGGGGACCTCTCTGACAACGGGATGGACAGCTCTCACACAGGTCTAGAGGTGACTCCCCTGCAGCTACCTGAGCTCTCAATCCCTCATTGAGGGATCTTTTCTTCTGTCCTCGCACCATTTCTGTGCCATTCTCTTCCCAAAGTTGTTTCAAGTGCATTGGTGTTCCCAAACACTGCTCCAACACCAACCCCTTCCACCCCAGCCACTCCTGAACACAGCTCCCTGCTTGCCAGGGGACACGCGGAAGGGTCACCGCGTCATGTTGTGCCACACCGGGAATTGCTGTGACGTTCCTTGGCCAAAGGGCTCAGAAATCTTCGGCAGCTTTGTTTTCCACACTGGGAGTGCTTGTCCCTGGATGTTTGCCATTTGGCTGACCTAGAGCATGCTTTGATGGAACGCATGCTGAGCCAATGACCCAGGCAGCACAGTCAACGCTGTTACATTCCCTGCCAAACCCTGTGTAATCAGGCTTTACCAGCAGATCCCTGGGGCAGCCACATCAAGCTTGACACCAGGAAACCCCACCAGAAATAAATCTGGGCAGCGGTGACCACAGTGACAACTGCTTTCTACCATCGACCGGGCCAGTGGCACTTCGCCTATGGATGGTTCACAGTGCTGATCCTGGGCTGGAATATCGTGTACAACAAAACCAAGGCCCCCAGCTGGCTGCCACCTTTGTCTGGTTATCTTCATCAAGCAGAATTACAAGTTCCTTAAAGAATGAAATTGGATTTGTTCGACGAGATCTTCCCTCAATGCATGAATTGTATTCTGAGATTTGCAGTTACTATTAATCCTCCATCAGCGTCTCATTAGTTCAGCTGGGACTGACACCACGTTATCTTTGGACTGCAGTTACTAAGCTCATCCCACTTACTTTTCAACGCTGGCAAAACACCAGCACATTTTCAGTCTATCACAGACTGCACTGGGCAGATGTTTTCTCAAACAACTTCTTCCTTTTTCAATCATTCTGAGGTAAAAGCTGTCTTGTCCACTGATGTACAGACAGCAGTTGGGCCTTGGCAGATGCTCCCAGTCTCAGGATCCTCTGTGCATCCCTGCGCAGCCATGAAGCATCCTCCAGCGGCTCCTCTTCACGCCCAGCCCCAGATTACTTTGCCCATGGACCAGGTTGATGCAGGGAGGACAAACAGGCACAAGAACTTCCAGGTCTCATTCCCATGTACAAGGTGTGTGCACTGAATGTGTGATGATAAGTGATGGGGAGAACACACACGTGTGTTTGGCCTGCAAGCGAAGTAACTACCTCACTGAGGAGGACACAGTGACAGCAGGTAAACCCCAGTAAGATATTATGGGATACAGCCAATACCCCCAAACATGGGGTGACTGGATCTCAGCAGACGGCAGGTAGACCCCTGGGCTGCACATTCCTTGCTCGCAAACACGCTGTGCTGCAGCTACTGTATCCTGATAAAGGAATGTGGAATCCCTGCAGCTCTCCCTGGCTCACAGCAGCGCCAGCATCCTAACTCTCCAGAGAACTACTGCACATACCTGCGTTAATGCCATTTCCTTGTCAATGTCCCCAAAGCCCTCACTTATGTGATTATCTTCATCTGCAGCCCCGAGGGCTCATTTATCACTGGTTCAGGACACCTCAGTGGTGTCAGCACAGGATTTATGACTTGTAAACAAGACTCTGGATTTGGTTTTCCAATGGGATTCTCCAGTGCTCCACTGCCATTCTGAGCAAGTTATGAAGAATCTAAATGACACACGGCAAATACCTGTGTTGAGTCTGCATTCAGATGTGTGCTACGGCACCAAGTGTGGACATGATGCTGAATTACACAAAACCAAAGCATTAAAGCCTGTATAAGGAACATTGAGGAATTTGCTGCCTCGGAGGTTTATTTGCAAGCATTCCTAATGTTGTTCCAAATGTTTTTGTCTACATTAAATGTTAGTTTGCTCAGAAATTGTGCTGCACTTTCTTCCCAAATTAGTCGGGATTAGGTGAAATAACAGCACTCACACTTGAATGTATAAGAGCTTGTGCAGCTTAAATGCGTAAAGCCTCCTAAAGAGACTTTGTGGGCAAAATATAGCACAAGATCCCTGAGTTTAGAAGTCCACGTGTGGGTAAGTGGAGTCCCATTGCAGCCAGTGGAGATGGCCACAGTGACAGGCACTGGAGCCCAATCCCCATAGGATAAACCCCTATCTGTGGTTACCTGAATCCCAGCCCAAGGCAAAGCCTATTAGTGGTTGTAAATACGGAGCGAATTCAGTTAATGTCTGTTCTAGTTAACTGGAGCAGAAATCAGAACAGATCACCCCCTGTGCTCATCACACCGGTGAGGCCCGTGCAGGGACACACAGGGCACACGGTGGTGTCCCAGTCCCTGCGGTAACTGTAAGTTAAACATCGAAGTCCTTCAGCCTCACATTCAGAGCCCTCCCTGTGACTTTCCCTCTGGACCTACGAGACTGGCTTTCCTTCTCCTGCAATTCCCCCTGGCAGCCCCGGGGCACCAGAAGGAAAGGAACTGTGCCCACCAGGGCCAGAAAAGCCGGAGGCTGGTCCGGGGGCTGTGACGGATGATGTGGAGCTCTCGAGCAGTCACGAGCAACCAAAACTCAGAGCATTTGCCTTGGCTTCCCCTCAGTGAGTTCTCCATGAGTAAACACACACCCACACGGGATCCTGTGCTCCCAGCCCCGGAAGAGAAGCGGGGAAAAGGCGGGGGGAGAGCACAGTGGGCATTGATATCTGAGGTGCCTATAGAGACTACAGGCATCAGAGAAGCCCTACATGCTTACATAAACATATATGTACATGAATATATATGTCCATATGTTGATAGATAGATAGATAGATAGATAGATAGATAGATAGATAGATAGATTGATTGATTGATAGACGTGCATTTTAAAGAGCAAAGCACGCAAAAGCTGGGTACCTCCAAGTAGGGAACAGGAGTGTCTGGATTCAGGGGGTACTCCCTCAGCAGGCGCTCCTCATCCAGAAACTTCCCGGCCCGGCCGTTGAAGGCCGGCTGGAAGAGCCCATAGTTGAGAACATCCTTCAGGCTGTGGTTCAAAGTGCAGAGGATGCGCTGCTTGGAAACCCACACGGGAACATCTGGATTCAACCGTAGGCACTTCTGTGGAGAGACACAGAGGGCGATTAGGGACGGGCATCACCAAGGGTCTCACAGCTCCTCCCGGGAACTGTCACAGTAAGAACAAGGAGAAGGATAAATGGGAAAGTCACCACCTCCTCCATGTCAGTGAGCTACAGGAAGAGAAGGAAAAAAGGGTTAGGGAAGGATGAGCTCAACAGATTCTCCCCCCCCCCAACCTGTTTTGTGGGGCTCAGGGAAATTCAAACACTCCATGCGGTATCATCCTGTTGAGAAGCATCAAAGAATATTTTATGGCCTAATAACAGCAAAATAGCAAAACTTCACTTAAAAACCCCCAGTGGGGTGTAAAGAGTCATTTGCCTTCTCCACCGTGGACCTCAGAGGTGTGCAGACAACAGAGGGATGGGCAGCAGCAACACCACGAGCCCTGACAGGAGCTGAAGGCATCCAGTGAGGTCTTCCCATTGGAAAAAGGAATGGAGAAGGTCCCTCTGCCTCCTGCACGGCAAGTCACCATTCCCCACCCGACCCTGTGACCGCAGCAGGTTTCCCAGCACCGTAACCAGTTTCCCTTCCTCCCGGGGACCCGGCTCATCCAATACCCACAGCCCATCCCCTCCACACTGCGCTTCCCACTGCGCTCCGGGCTGGCTGCGGGCCGGGGCCCTAGATCCTGCCCAGGCAGAGCCACCAGCTCCGCATTGGTGCCGGCGGGCAGGAGGCGCCGTGGACAACAGCCTGTCCCCATGGCAGCCGCCCATCCCCTCCCAGCTGCCGGGGCTGTGTTTGACCCATCTCGCCTCCAGCCTTGTTTCTCCCCCTGTCACTCTGTGTTCCGCTCCTGCAGCGCTTCCTCCCGAAGCCGCAGCCCTCAGCCCCGTTCTGTGCCCCCGGGTTTGTGCTGGGGGCAAAGGGAACCCTCCCTGCCCCTGCCGTGCCTGCTCCATCCATCAGACAGAGCTGGGCACCGGCAGCTCCACAGCGGCACGGGGCTGGTCCCGCCCGGACCCGCACTACAGGGGCTGGCCCCAGGCCACCGGGAAATGGGGCTGAGCTGGGGCAGTGCCGGGCACCGGCCACCACTGCAGGGGGAGCCCAGCCCCGGGACAGCCGTTCTCGGGGGTGAGAAGCTTCCAACCCCAGCGTCCGGACGCTCCAATCAACGCTGACTTAAAGGGAACCAAATTGCCTCGTCCCATCCCAAACTTGCAGGCAGAGGGAAGGTCTCTGCCCCTTCCCCTGGCACACAGCATGGCATGGCACAGCATGGCATGGCACAGCATGGCATGGCACAGCATGGCATGGCACAGCATGGCACTGCACCCACAGAGCCCACCCTGACCTGGGGCAGGTCCCAGGGCCAGGCGGGGTGGAAACAGCACTCAGGATGAGTTGCTCGCTCTGGTTTGCAGTTACAAGGGGTAATTTCTCCCCTACCATTGCAAGCCCTGAGCACAACAGAGGAACTCCTGACAGCAAATGGTCCAGCTCCTCCACTTCTACAGCATGGATTCCTCCTTCCTGAAGGAAGAACGAGCATAGAGCTTCAGATTCAACCCTCAGCAGTGAGCAGGGTGACAGACAAGATCTATTCAATATTCAATCTATTCAAGTGCAATAATGACAACAAAGAACTGACATTCAACAACCCCTTAAGAGCAAAAAAAGCCAAAAATTCTTCATCGAGGAGCACACGAATGAGAAAGAGTTGAAAGGAAATTAAAGAGGAGCAGCTGAAAAGGTAATGAATGTGCTTGCGGGCTGCAGGGAGTGCATTTTGTAACATCACATGGGAGGCTCTGGGCAGATGTATGGCACAAATGAACCAACAGCCTCTGAGATGCCCCCCCGAAAGACAGAGCAGCCAAACCAACGGAGCCTTTATCACAAGGTGTCCTTTGGAAAACGGGAGCTGCCTGTGAATGGGAACGGCATCGAGCACAATCCTGCACAGCACGTGCGGAATCACAGCGACAACGGGGTCAGCACCGCTGGCAAGACACAGGGGCAGGTGGAGGGGTGGGTGAGGCCAAGCAGGAGAGGCAGAAGGGGCACCAAGGAGGAGCCCCGGGGCAGGACGGGCTCCTCGCTGTTTGCCATCCATCCGATGCCAATGCAAAGGGTCCACAGACAAGGAATGAGGGAATAAAGGTGCAGGAGCACGGTGGATGTGAACACACAAGCGCAAGTGGTACCCATCGCCTGCAGCCAGTGCAAACCCTCCCAGGAGCAGAGCACATGCAGGAGATGCTGGTACCCAGGAGCAGCTCCATGGCTCAGGCACAGAACCTGTGCTCCATCTCTGGAACACGGGCAGGAGCTGCAACACACACCCTGCGCTCAAAACGTGCTTGTGCTCTGCGGAGTCACCCTCACACCTCCGAGCAGAGCCCCGAGGAAACCCGTGACCACCAGAACACGCTGGCCCGCTCCCAGCACGCACGTGCATGTGCAGAGTGCCTGCAGCAAGGTCCCTGCTGCCATAAAGGCCCAGGAGCAAGGACATGCTCCTCTGGATCCCTCACAAACGGGAGAGTAAACAGAGGTGAAGGTCAAGCAGGGAGGCTTCCTGACACGAGAGCTTGGCAGCAGCACCCCATGGGGGCCATGCTGGGATTGGAGCTGAGGGGATGCAGCGAGGGCTGCTGTGACACTCCTGAGTTGGCAGCACATCCAGATCCTCCCCATCCCGGCAGGGCTGGTGGTCCTGCCTTCAGGAAACAACAGAAACAGGAAAGAGGTAAAGGGAAAGGAGACAAAGGTGAGAGAGGCACAGGACAAACCCACACGAGGAGTGTCCCAGAGGAGCCTGAAGGGCTGCAGCACTGAGCCAGGCACCTGCACTGGGCACCAGGACTGGGACAAAGTTACAGGGACAGGTGCTGTGTGCGAAACAAACCCAAGGAACTTGGTCACCTTTCCCTGAGCTTCTGTTGGGTCTTCTCCAATCATACACATTTTGTTCTCAGTCACTTGTTAAAAGCTCAGCCCCTCCGGCAGTGGTTTCAGCAGCGAATGTTTCCTATGGACTGGGGCAGACACCACTGGTCCCCTGCAGCATGTGAAATTCCACAGCATCACAGAACCCCAGAGCAGTTTGGGTCAGAAGGGGCCTTAAAGCTCCTCCAGCTCCAACCCCTGCCACGAGCAGGGACCCCTTCCACTGGAGCAGCTTGCTCCAAGCCCCTGTGTCCAACCTGGCCTTGAACACTGCCAGGGATGGGGCAGCCACAGCTTCTCTGGGCACCCTGTGCCAGCGCCTCAGCACCCTCACAGGGAAGAGCTTCTGCCTGAGAGCTCAGCTCAGTCTCCCCTCTGGCAGGTTAAAGCCATTCCCCTTGGCCTGTCCCTACAGGCCCTTGTCCCAAGCCCCTCTCCAGCTTTCCTGCAGCCCCTTCAGGCACTGGAGCTGCTCTCAGGTCTCCCCTTCAGGAGCCTTCTCTTCTCCAGGCTGCCCCAGCCCAGCTCTCTCAGCCTGGCTCCAGAGCAGAGCTGCTCCAGCCCTCGCAGCATCTCTGGACTCGCTCCAGCAGGTCCCCAGTGCTCTCACGCTGTTGGGAGGAGGGATCAGAGCCAAGGGACAGCCCTGACCGGGAACTGCCTGGAGCAGGAGCGCTCCCACCCGCAGCCCCTCACACCTCTGCAGGCAGGGGCTGGGCAGCAGCCACAGCCCCCACATGCAGGGACCATGGGACGGGTTGAACATCCCTTTTGTGACTTGTTTCCCTTTATGACCATGGTCCAGGGCTCTGCAGGGCCCAGGGCAGGGCAACCACTGCTCTGTGTTTGAATGGAGGAGAAATCAGCGTGAGGTTTCTGTGCACTGGATGTTGGCAAAAGGCAACCCAGGTCTGGCTCAGCAAGCACTGTGTGTGCTGGCAACACAACAGGAATTCCTGGGCTTAGATCACCTCCTGAGGAAAGCTGTGGCCCTGCCACGCACGGTGCTGAGTGCCACGCTGGGAGATCTGCCTCCACCTAAAGGAAACAAGATAAAGAGCAGAGGGAGGATCTCGGCGTGCAGCAGGAAGGCACCGACGCACAAGCCCGTCTTGCGCTTACGTGCTGCAGATAGCAACGCATTTGGCTCCATGGGTTTTCCAGCTGCTTGTGAGCCAGCCTGGAGGGATGCTGTGGATGGCTGCGTCACCCCCAGCATCTGCTGCCCAGACAAGAAACCATCCAGCTACTGCTGCTCAAACAAGAGGTCCAAGAGCCCTTAGTACAACCCTCGAGCAGCACTGGCAGTGACAAGCAGCCCCATCCTCCAGTCGCAGCAGCCAGTGCTTTCAAAGGAGCAGCTGCCTCTGATCCAAACACAGCTTGAAATGAATGTTTAAAGAGACTCAAGTCCTGATTAACTCTACGTGAGTGGTTCAGGCCAACCCTTCCTCTCACCCAGAGCTACAACAGCTTTACTATTGGCCACCTGCAAGGATGGGGCTGCTGAGCACAGTCACCAGCCAGCTGCATCCAGCTGCTGAACTCCCCATACACATCCAAAGGTGTTGGACCAAGCTGACCTCACCGAAGAGCTCAAGACAGGTTAAAGAGATTCCCGTTACCTTCAGAGACCTGGGAATGTTTCCTGCTCGGCTCATTGCAACACCACAACCCAAGCTACATGTCTAACCCATGCTCACTTGGAAAATGAGGGCCTGGAAGGCTTGAACTCTATCTAGGACTGAAAACCTGCCACAAAGAGCAAAGGTTCTTCTGGAAAGGATGGAGCAAGGTCTTCTATTCATCCAGCATAAAGACAGACATGCCAGTTGGATGGACAGGTCCTAATAAACACATGCAAAAGAGGTACAGAACTTCTCAGCATTAAGGAGCAAATGAAATCAAGTTTGAGTAGAGAATGGAGGAAACCAGCAAGAGCAAACTGTAGCTGCCTGCGTAGCGCATACTCAGCAGGGCTCTGGCCCAGCAAATTCAAAGCCAAGAGGGCCTGAACAATCACCCTGTATCAGCAGCATCACCGCCCCATCAGGTCCAACCAGTGACTCCCATGTTGA